TTTATTTTTTCATTAAATATCATTAAAAGAGATTGAGATATATTAAGATCTATTACTATTAGTATTATTATTTTTTTTTTTATGAATTAATATTTATGAAAATTAGAATATTTGTAAGTGACCAATAAGAAGAAAAAAGAAATGAAATACTGATTTCAGTAAAAGAAACTCATTCAAACGTTTCTATTTATCCTAATATTATTTACGTAATAAATAATATCTTAATTAATTATAATATTTTTTATTATTCTTATAAAATATTGAAAAATTATAATATTCCTAGAGGATAAACAGGAAGATAAGGACTAAGATATCGATTTCGCAAAGAGAATAATTTAATCTATTGAATTGATCGATTCCATCTCGATTGCGTAGAAACGAAGGGAAAACAGTCGTTGAGAAGAATTCTCTCACAGCTAGTTAGCGGCGAATGTGACTCACGTGGCTTTCAAGAAAGGCGATCTTGAATCTGTGTCACATGGTGTTACATAGAGAATTTTAGGCACGCCTCTTGCTTGCTTGTACAAGTTGCGTCAATCCTCGGATACAATCCTTCGGGCGATGCGATATGTTTTCTATTCGAGCGTTAATTCATTTTCTAATTACTCTGTCCTACGTTAAATTTTATTACTCGTTCAAACGGAAGAATAGAGAAAACGTTTCCTTTCGATCAACTCGCGATTCAATGTACGATGCTCTTACGATTCGTGCAAAGAATAATTGATTAGAATCGTTTATATGTTTCACACCTTGTGGTCTAATTCATCTCTATTTTTTTATCTTTTTTTTTTATACGTTTTTCCTCTTACAGATATATTATATTTATACAGAACAGAATGTACAATATATATATATATATATTTTTTTTTATAACATATCGTTAATTTCATGATATACAGGAAAATTATTAATTTTATTCATTATTTTATATTCCGAATCAATGAATCAGATTATATTTGTAATATGTAAAATAAATTAAATAAATTTAATGTATATGTAAAATGTAACTTATATGTAATACTTGATTCATATCACATCAGTATGAGAAAATAAATAATATTAATAATTATTATTTTTCTTTCGTTGTTATTTCTTTAAAATTGACTTATGTGAATAACAGTAAATTGAGAACATTTTAGAAAATATAACATTTGCATTACGATTTATTTATCTGCTTCTAGAAAGGAACGGTTAGTCTACGTAAGCAGACAAGAGGACAGCTACTACCTGCTAATGTGACAGTTATCGGATATAAAATGTTAACGCCGTCTGTGTTTCAATGTTCTTCAACCCAAAAGCAGCTTTGTAGTGTAGTCTATGTTGGTTTGTCGTTGGTTTTATTACGTACACAATAGAGCAATCTCGTTTATTAGTACAGGGAAAAGAGCAAGAAAGGCAGATAGAGAGAGATAGATAGATAGATAGATAGAGAGAAAGAGAGAGAGAGAGAGAGAGAGAGAGAGAGAGAGAGAGATAGGGAGAGAGAAATAGAATGTGTGTGTATGTGTGTGTATATGTCCGTATTACGCAAGCGCTGATATTAGATAACTTGCTAATTAGCGATTACCGCCAAGCTGATATCAGATATTTTAATTGAAGAGAATTCTGAACGATCATTGATGCGACATATAACTATTAAAAATTAATTTATATTAAATAATTGCTAGATTTAATAAAATAAAACAAAAGCTCGAAAGATTATTGAGAGATTCTTAATTTATGTAATATTTAATAAAAGTGATTATTATATTCTCGTGCATTTATTATTTCCTATATATTATTATTTTTTTTTTTTCAAATATTAAAAGTCGAATTTTGCGACATAATTAATGTGTAGATTAAAATTATAGTTCAAAAGATTATTATAAGGATTATCTATATTATTATACAGTATATGAAATATTTAAGAAAAATTATACAATATATTCAGTGTATTTAACATTTCCAGCAATCTAATTTTTTCCTTTTTTTTTTAAAGATCGATTTAAAATGTGCATTAAAACAAAACTTCGAAAGATTATTATTGAGTGATTTAAGATTTATGAAATATTTATTAGAAAATGGTTATTATATTTTACATGAATTTGTTATTTTCAATATATTATCCTTTCGAATTTTAATTGATTGTATTTGATGAAAAATTAAAATGTACAATGTAAAATTATCGGTTATTTTTAATTATTTATTATGAGAAAAATTCGATTAAAATCATATGTTTATGATAATCAAATTGAGTTGCGATAATTCGGTGTATTTCTTGAAACAGAACATTATTACATGCCCATGCAATTCAAAGGCCACTAAAACGCGTCGGTCTGCTTTTCACTCAATCAAGATGCACCGACCTCGGACACCATAATCTACGTAACACGAGAACCTTATGAGAATTCACGGGAAACCTGGTAATTCCGAACACAGGCCACGTTTGATGGTACTCTGCATTTAAATTCTAAACGGATATCGAGATAACGTTAGAACGTTATTGTCCTAACTACTATATCTTCTCTTCATGAGAATATACATGTATAACATAGGTTTCTTGTGTTTGTATTATCAATTAAAAAACGATCATAATGATTAATTTCTTTTGTCTATCGGTGATATTAATTTAAGAACTAACATTATTATTATAAATTTCTTCACGAGAATACATTAAAGGAATAGAAGAACTTTACGCAAATAAAACAAATCATTGAAAATCCATGCAGTTGTCCTTAATCGAAAAAACAATTTATGATTTCACTCTTGAAATATAAAAAAGGAGAGAAAGAAAAAGGGAAAGGGAGAAAGAGAAAGAAAGAAAGAAAAAGATAGAAAGAAAGAGAGAGAGAGAGAGAGAGATCTTAATCGACGAGAGTCGACTACCCATACGATATCCTTAATTACACATAAAGGAAACCGAGTAAACATGAGAGGAGTGTCGAAACGAGTACGAAAAATTGCAAAGGTAGTTTGAGGCGTCATATCCGCGTCACGTCTCGTTCCATTCTCAATTCGTGTTACCAATCGATCTGGAAAGGCCTTTCGAGTA